GGCGCCGGAGGCGCCGCCGGGGGCCCATTTTCGCAGGCCTCGAGGTTGACACCAACACCCAAATCGGCGGTGTGCCTCCACCGAGGGAGGACGATCCCAATCTCGGTGACGGTGGCAGTATTTTGGTGTTCAGGGTGACCGAGCTCTTACCACCAGCACCGAAATCTAGGATCGGTTTCCCCATGTGGAGGCAACCTCTTGTGCTGGTGTTGGTGCCAATTTCCAGGCCTCCAAAATTTTGAGACTCGAAATAGACAAAACAGCATAGACATAAACTTTGGGCGCTCCGCGCGGATTTCTTGGATCCGCGCTGGGAACCCCAGCGGCGCCTCCGGCGCCGCCCGGGCGCGCTCCGCGAGCCAGGGAGGGGGGTCCAGCGCAGATTCAAGAAATCCGCGCGGAGCGCCCGAAGTTTATGTTTTTATGCAGTTTTTTCTTCTTCTAGAAAAAAAAGCGCGTACTGTGTACTCCAAGCGTCCGTGCCAATACGCTGCGTGTTGGCTCAGCGTGTTGGCCCACGTCTCGGCGAGCGCATCGCGCCACACCTGCTCGGCCCACGTGGTGAGCTCCCTATCAACACGCTACGTGTTGCGAGATGCGAGGCGGGGCAGCCAGGCTCCTCCTCCTCCTCCTCCTCCTCCTCCTCCTCCTCCTCCTCCTCCTCCTTCCCCTCCTCCTCCTCCTCCTCCTCCTCCTCCTCCTCCCCCTCCTCCTCCTCCCCTCCCTCTCCCTCCCGGCCCGAGGGCACCGCGGGCAGCGCGGGCAGCCCGACGAGCTCCTCCCGCGCGCCCTCGCCCGGCGCGACGCCCTCGCGGACGCCTGGCGGCGGCCGCGCGCGCCGCGCCCCGGGCACCCCGGGCCAGGGGGCGCGGCGGAAGGGGCTCTGCTCGGGGCCCGCCGCAAGCTCAGGGGCAGCGATGGGGTTAAGTCGGGCCTGTCCCCCTCCAGGGGGATTTTCGACGACAAATGAAAAATACCCCAAAAATAGTGAAACAATAGTCCAAAATTAGTCTGGGGAATATTTTTGGAGTATTTTTTGACCTTCTTGGGGCATTTTGGGTGTATTGTAGTGGCCTTCGGCCAGTGCCGCCGATCCGGGTCGCTCGGGGTTATTCTCCAGACGCAGAAATTATGGGCGCACACTCAAACGCACACACACAGTCACACCACTTAACCTGCGCCGCAGACATGCGCACACAGCATCACCCACACACACATACTAGTTGGGAAACGCTCCTGTAGTACTAGTAGTAGTATTAGTAGTAGTAGTAGTAGTAGTAGTAGCAGTAGTAGTAGTAGTAGTAGTAGTAGTAGTAGTAGTAGTAGTAGTAGTAGTAGTGGTTGTGGTAGTAGTGGTAGTAGTAGTAGAGGCCTCGTTCCGCGGCTTCTCTCGACTTCCCGCGGTCTCTCTCAAGTTTCGAGCACGCGGTGAGTTTCACGATATATGTGTGTGTATGTACGCGTGCATGCATGTATGCATGCATTGATCATGTGTGCCTGTGTGTAGGTACGTATGTATGTATGTATGCTTGTGCGCGTATGTATGTATTTAGTTTGTATGTATGTTTGTATGTGTGTATGATAATATGTGTGTATGTGTGTGAATGTAAGTATGTATGTCTGGAAGATTGTTTTTCTATGTATGCAAATGTGTTTAAATGTAGGTATGTATGCATGTGTGTATGGATGTGCGTTTGAAGAGCGAGGATGTTTCAAAGAAGAGGCACTCGGTGACGCGATCGTTGAGGGATAGGAGTGAGGTCGCAGAGGAGGAGGAGGAGAATGAGGAAGAGGCGATAACTTGAAGGAAAACGATGAGACGGAGGACATCCTGCCGGTGGCGCCCTGGGCGGTGCCGCGGAAGAAACCGGGGGCCTGCCGGAGGCAGTCTGGAGGCCTCTGGGGAGCTGTTTTGGGGCCTCTTGGAACCTCTTTTGGGCCTCTTGTGGGCTTCTTGGGGCCCCTTGGGGGTCTCTTGGGGCCTCCTGGGGGCCTCTTGGGGCGGAAAGCTCGGTTCTTTCGGTTCGTGGTCCCCCTCTTGGGCCCCTCTTGGGGCTCTCTTGGGGCCTTCTTGGGCTGTCCAGAGGCCCTCTTGGGCCGTCTTGGGGCCCTCTTGGGCCGTCTTGGGGCTCTCTTGGGCCGTGTTGGAAGCATCGTGGGCCGTCTTGGGACGGACTTGGGGGCCTCTTGGGCCGTCTTCGAGCGTCGGACGCCCGAAAAGGCAAGAACGCTAAAAACCCTGAGAAAACCAATGAAAATCAACGATTCTGGCCTCTTGGGGCCCTCTTGGGAGGCCTCTTGGAAGCTTCTTGGGGCGTCTTGGAGACACCTTGGGCCGTCTGGAGGCCATCTCGGGCGTCTTGGAGCGATTTTTCGGCGACTCGGGGCCCTCTTGGAACCCCTTGGGGGTCTCTTGGGCCCCCCCCCTCCTCCAAAGCGCCGGAAAAAGCGGAGCATGGCGCCCCCCCCCCCCCTATCTTCCACTCCCCCGGAGCGGCCCCGGGGTTCGCCGGAAACTCGCACCCCCCCCCCCCCCCCCACCCCCCCTTCCCCGGCAGAGCCACCCCGGCGACCCCCCCAGAGGCTGAAGCTCAGCCTCGAGGCTGTAGCTGAGACTCCTTGAAACTCACACGCCGGATCGGCGGATTTTTTATTTGTCATCAAAAATCCCCCTGTAGGGGGACACGCCCGACATAACGATAGGGGGGGGAGCCTGCATGGAATGGGGATGCCTCGACCTGGAATCGGCGGCGCATCGGCGACGGATCGGCGACGGGCTCCCGACAGTGAGTGTCCGCATCTTCCCGGGCGGGTTGGGGGGCTATCGTGCCCCATATCGGCGATCAATTGGCGATTGGGGGTCGATGCATCCCCCCTATGCCTATCCCCCCCTATCGTCGCCCCCTGCAAGCTCGTTCGTCAAGCAGTGGCGAAGCGTCCTGGCTTGCTCGTGGGCCCGCCAGAGGACGTTCCTAGAGCGCCGCAAGTGGTCTGCACGAAGTGTTTTATAAGAGCATTTCTGGCCGAGCCTGTCTTGTTGTGATACACCGGCTTCATGTTCTAAGAACATTGTTTTTTTGTGCTTAGAACATGTGTTGGTTCAAAGAACAGTTCGTGGTAGGACTATAGGAATGCTGGGAGGGTCGATCCCTGCTCAGCATGGGGGAAAAGTGTCCCGAGGGAAACGGGTCCTGAGATTTTCCGTCATTCTCGGGCTGTCTGGACCCTCCACGGGCCCCGGGACTGTCAGAGAACGGTTCAGGGCTTAGTGGGCCCTGGAAACGACAGGGCCGTTTTTTTACCGGTTCCGTTTTGCCGTTTTTGTTGCCGGTTCCGACGCCGTTTTTTTACCGGTTCCGTCGCCGTTTTTTGACCGGTTCTGGCTCCGGTTCCAATCCTGGAACGGTTTTTTTGCTGTTTCCAGTCGCCGTTTTTTGCCGTTTCCATGTTCAAGGGACATTTTTCTGGAAACGGTGAAAAATCGGCCCTGTCGTTTCCGGGGCCCACAAGGGTTCAGGGTGAAAACTGCGTCTCTGGGGAGGGCCTCGGGGTCCAGGATCCGTTTCCCTCATGGCCCGTTTCCCCAACGCGATAATTCGGCGGTGGTTTGCGATCGGAGCCGTCAGGGCATGGGGGGCACGACACTGTCCTCGTCGGGCCCCCCTCGGTCACCCGCAGAGGGGGTAGGGGTAGGGGGGAAGGCTTCTTAGAAGCACCCTTGCTTCTTAGGAGGCGCGGGCCATGTCTATAGATGTAGGCCCAGGCGCCTTCTAAGAAGCAGCCTCCTTCTGAGAAGCTCTCCCCTCCCCCTGCCCTCCTCTGCGCGCCGCCAGGTTGGTGCCTGGGATGCACGACGCTGCTCTCGTCGGGCCTCCTCGGGGCGCGCCGGAAATTTCTGTCGAGGTCCTCGCTCGCCCCCCCAGGGTGCCAGTTGCAAACCAGACCCTTTGCAAGCCACACCCTTCAGAGTCGCCGACAAGCGGTCTGGTGATCACAGCGAGTGGCGTATCAGCGGGGATTCGGGGCCAGCGCACGATTTTAGGACGTTTTTGCGTGAGGTCTTCGGACGTCTCGTTGCTTCTCGGCGGCTTCCCAGCCTGGGAGTGCGCTCCAGCAGCTGCTCCTCGTCGAGGGCGGCCTCGGGGTGTGCGCATCGCCCAGAACGACCACCGGAGACCCGAGGTCTGGCCCAGGAGCCAGCCATGCGGAGGAGGGCCAGCGTGCGGAGGCAGTGGGCCTTCGGGGTCACAGCGCGGTTTTGGGGCTCGGGGCATTCTCAGCGAGCGTCTCGGGCGATGGGGGCCCCCAGGGCCCCCAGGACCGCGCGGTGACGGACCGCGCGGTGGGGTCTTTGGGTATTTTCCGGTGCCACCACGCGGCCCATCACCGCCCGGTTTTGGAACCCCGAAGGCTCGGCAAGCCGACGAACCCGTTCATCGAGTACGAGGACAGGGAGGTCAAGTTGCAGCAGGAGACTGAAGAAGAAGAGCAAGACGGCACAAGCATAAACCTTCGGAGGTCCGCGCGAATTACTTCTGGCTCGGCGCTGGGCCCCCCCTGGCGGTGCCTCCTGCGCCGTCCCTGGCGCGCTCCGCGCGCCAGGGAGGGGGAGGAGGGTCCAGCGCAGGTCCAAGACATCCACGGGGACCTCCGACAGTAGGCGCATAAGATGAGAACTGGCCTGCCTGCAGGTGCCCGCAGAAGTTGTTGTTATCCCCCGATGGCGCCAGGGATCTACAGCAGATCTAGTTCAACCGAGGACCCTAAAAGGGCGACGAATAATGTGCCCCAATCTTACTTATAGCAAACATTCGCATCGTATGTGCCAACGGTAGCTTGTTTTTCTTCTTCTTCTTCTTCTAGGAGAGGAAGTGGTTGGAGCAGGACTCCGTTTTCATGAGGATCCGGAGGGAGGGGATGCGCCACCAGGGGGCGACCGCTCGGAGCTTCACCAGGAGCGCGTCCGATGCCTCGCTGTACGAGAACCGCACCATGTTCGGGAACTACTCCGTGCAGCTGCGCAGGAACATGGGAACACACATATGGCACACGTAAGCATTCTCCCCTCCTCCTCCTCCTCCTTCTCCTCCTCCTCCTCCTCCTCCTCCTCGTCCTCCTCCTCCTCCTTCTCCCCTCCTTCTCCTCCTCCTCATGATTTTTTCAGGGGGGGAGCGGACACCGATGCCGCTGCTCGTTGCAGAGGGCCCTCGTCGCCACGGCTGGATTCTCCTCGAGACGATCTGCAGACCGCGCCCTGGCAGAGGTCCGGGGAGTTGCGGCATCGGTAGATTCTCGTCTTCTCAATCTTGCTTCGAGCGACCCCCACCTGAGAACGCGAGGCGAGATGCCCGGGAAGCACCAGCACACCTTGGGCCTGGCGGCAGCGGCACGCAGTCATCACTTATCGAAGGCACGAGGCGGGATACCCAGGGAGCACTGGCACATTCAGGGCCTGACGGCAGCGACATGCAGGGTGTGCGAGGCGGGGCAGGATTGAGTCGGGCCTGTCCCTCTACAGGGGGAATATTTTGGGGCATTGTTTGATTATGTTTGTTTAATTTTTCGTCCAAAGCTCCCCTGTAGGAGGACAGGTCCGACTGAAGGGCAGGAGCTCCTTCCTTGCCTTCTAACAGCCCAACCTGTCAGGCGGGGATCAGGACTTTCGGAGGTCCGCTCGGACATTCCCGGGTCGGCGCTGCGCCCTGCCAAGGGCAGCGCCGGATGCGCCGCAGGGGGGGAGGTCCAGCGCCGACCCGAGGAATCCGCGCGGGCCTCCGAAAGCTGATGTCTCTGGCGTGAAGTCGGGCACGTCCCTCTACAGGAGGACGATTCAAAAGTAGCCAGAAAAAAAATCAGGGGACGATGTTTTTTAATATTTTTGACCAGGTTTGGGTTCTGTTTTGTCAATTTTGAATTTTTCGTCCAAACTTCCCCTGTAAGAGGACATGCCCGGCCTAAGTTTATGCTTATTGCGTCTGAGGAACAAGGCCCTGAGGGACGGCTTCATGGGCAGCCCATCGGGCGCGTCCAGTCGCACGCCGCTGGCCTTCTCTGGCCAGAGGTCAGGGGCAACGATAGGGGGGGATAGGCATGGGGGGGATGCATCGACCGGGAATCGCCCATTGATCGCCGATAGGGGCCCGATAGCCACAACCTGCACAGGAATGTGCGGGTTCACTTTGTGGGGCCTATCGCCGATCTATCGGCGATGTATCGCCGATTCCAGGTCGATGCATCCCCCCCTGTGCCAGTCCCCCCCTATCGTTGCCCCTCAAGAGGACTGGGAAGTCCAAGATGGGGGATCATCCACACCTCAAGCTGCTAAAGATGCTCCAGCTGACCATGGAGGAGTCCACCAGGAGCACAGAGGAGTGCATAAAGCAGGCTGGCCTCGGCGACGATTCACAGGAGCTGCAAGGTGGGGTGCAGCTAACGCTCTGAAAACGAAGCCATTCTCCCAGCAGTTGCGCCCCCAAGCAGAACACGTAACTAAACTGATTGACGTATCGCGCCTCCCTACACGCTCATGTACAAACTTTACCAGGCGAATTGCATCAATTAAGGAGGGCCAGGCCGAGGATTAGAGGTGAGTATGCTGATGAAGAGCAGGGTGAGTATGAGGGCGGAGGAGGAGGACGAGGAGGAGAAGGGGGAGGAGGACGAAGAGGATGGTGATAACGAGGAGGGCGATGATAAAGACGAGGAGGAGCGCGGGGAGGTGGGGGAGGAGGAGGAGGAGGAGGAGGAGGCGGAGAAGGAGGTGAAGGATAATATGTAGGAGGAGGAGGACGAGGACGAGGACGACGAGGAGATGGAGGACGACGACGAGAGAGGAGAAGGGGTTTGCAGGGCTTGCAGGGTATTGCAAGGCACTGAAGGGTCTGATCTGCAGGGCACTGTCGGGTATCGCAGGGTCGCTTTGTGTAGTATCGAATGCGCATGCGACGAGCCGTTGCCCCCCTGCCTTCTGTGGAAATGCCCATGTTGCCAAATGTTGGGGCAACGTCTGGCCACGATGTCGGATCATATGTTCCGAATGCCTTAGGGGAACATTCGGGGGAGGACGATAGGGAGAACGAGAGAGAGAGAGAGAGAGAGAACCCTCTTGGAGCGTCTTCGGGGTCCCTGGTGCCGTCTTGAGGCCATCTTCGGCCCCTTGGAGAGCTACTAGGCCGTCTCGGGACCTCCGTGGGCCATCTCAGAGGCCTCTTGGAGCCCTCTTGGCCTGTTTGGAGGCCCCCTGGCCTGTCTTGGGCCCCCTCTGGAAGAGTCGCGCCTGGAGGCCTGGGAGCGTTCGGGATCGCCTGGCATTCGGGGCTGCGGGTCCCTTCAGTAGTCTGCTAAAACTTTACAAAGGGGGATTCTACTTGACCCAGCGATGCTCCGCGAAGTGCCTCGCGGCACGGTGGTGGATGTGCAGTGTCTCTGCACGGGGTGCTGCGAGGCCCAGGGGAGAGGGCAGCGAGAGGTGTTACAGTCAACCCGCAGAGTGAGGATGGGCAACCTTCCCAAGGGTACCCTCACATCCTTGCCTCTTCGGTCTATCCTTGTCCACTTCCGATAGTCGCGCCCCGCTCGGGAAGCTTCGAAATGGGCATCCACGGCCCTTGCATCCTTACCCCGCATCCTTACGATACGGGTTGACTGTGTGCGTGTGTGGGAGAGTGAGCCTTCCGAACCACATGCGCCCAGAGGCCAGGTGGGAGTTGACGTCACACGTTCACGCTCAACTTCTGGTGAACCCCACGTGGGAGGTGGAGGAGCAGCAGGCTGGAAGAGGAGGGGGGAGGGACAAGGCGACTACGATGACGACGTGAGCAGCCTTGCAGGCCTTCGCAGATATCCAACTGCCTCTGGCAATGACGACACCGTGCCAGCGCAGCATTCTGGGTGGCAGCTGCTCAAGACGGCAACGGGGGCCTGTTGGGGGCCTCTTGGGGTAGAAGGCTCAAATTCTGGTTCGTGTTCACACTCTTGTGCCCTTCTTGGGGCCATCTTAGGGGCCCTCTTGGGCAGTCGTGGGCGCCTCTTTTGGGCCGTCTTGTAGCATTATTGGGCCCTCTTGGGACTCTCTTGGGGGCCTCTTGAGCCGTCTCGGGGGAGTCTTTGGGGACTCTTGGGCCGTCTTGGATTGTCGGAAGCTCGAAGAGGCGAAAACCCAAACAACACAGAAAACAACTAAGGAACATCAATGGCTTCTGCCTCTCGATGCCCTCTAAAGGAACCTCTCCGTTGGCCCTCTTGGGGCGGAAGGCTCGAATTGCTTTGCCCTCTAGGGCACTTCTTGGGGCCGTCTTGGGGCCTTTCTGGGCATTCTGGGGCGCTTCTTGGACCGTCTTGGAGTCCCCTTGGGCCGTCTTGGGGCCCTCTTGGGGGCCTCATTGGCCGTCTTGGGGCAGTCCTGGTGGCCTTTCTTGGGTCGTCTCGGGACGTTCGAAAACCAGAACAACATTGAAAAATCTTCAGGGCAATCATTGATTCGTGCCTCTCGAGGCCCTCTTGGGAAAGGTCTTGGGTCTCCCTTAGGGGCACTTCGACGGCCTCGTTGGCTGTCTTGCAGCCATCTTGGGCCGTCTTGAGGCCACCAACGTTGCCAGTCTTGGAGCGATATTGGGCCCTCCTGGAGGCGTCTTGGCCTCGGGAGCGCGAATCTGTCGCATTTTGAAGGGGCGATGCGCGCGACGAAGTGCGACTGGGAGGGCCGGGGTCCTTTTGGAAAATTGTAGACACCCGACCAGACAGGCCGTGGACTTTGTCCATGCCTCCTAGTCGATGGCAGTACATGATGTGTTTCGTTTCTCTTCTTCTCGCCATCGCTAGCCGACTCAACCCACGCTGGAGGGCCGAGCGTTCGGTAACGGCACGATCACAGTGGAGCTCCGTGTTGTCATCTGTTACCGGTGATAGGAGCGAGCCAGTGCACAGCATCAGAGGTTTTCACCGTGCCTGCCGTGTCATTTTCGCCAGAGGGCGAGCGCGGTCGCGGTCCGGCTTCAAGGAAGGCCAGGACGTTGTGGCAGACCGACGCAATGGGGCTACTTCGGATCAAGCAGAACGGGAAGCTGGTGCAATACTCCTCCGTGGCTGGTGAGAGTCGACAATGATCGCAGTTCTCAGACTCGGCCAAGTTTTGTTGCTCTCGCCCTGGTGAGGTTTTCACCTGTTGCACAATTTAGTCTTGTGTTTTTCCAGCGCTGGCGTGTCTCCTGCCTTCCCCCTGTCCTATGGCCCGCTGCGCTGGTGACTTTGAGTTTGGCTCGGCCCGCAACCCGCAGACAGGTGGTCGATCTGCCCGCCTGCCGCCCTCGTTTCTCGCCATCCTGGAGCGTGGCCGAGTTTGCACTGCTGGTAAGGGCGGCTCCAGCATCGGTGTTCAATGCTTCTCTTCGTCTGCCGCGTTGCGCCGTTTGAGTTTCCTTGCCTGCCACCAGTCCCTTGGTCAGAGGACCAGGTACTGATGTGCGAGCCTCCCTACCAGTGGGTGGTATGCTCCGCGTGTGACGTCTATGGATACGCATGCGCGCGGGTCGACCACGCGGTTGGCCATGTGATAGCTCGCTGAACCTCTTGGCTTGGGGTAGCGCTTGTTTTTCTGTAAAACAAAAACGCCTCCGACGTGGACGCTTTTGGATACGATGTATGTACTAAATATATATATGTATATTTACACACATCATACATGCATGTATATATCTGCGTTGTAAACCATATCTATGTATGTTTATATCTGCATGTGTACATGATGCATATATATATATATATATATATCGCAGGTCCAGGTGCCTCGAACGACAGGCTGCGGGGCGCACTTCGGAACACGGAGGCGGATGGCGGGCAACGTCTTCGGAGGCCGAGAAAAGCGAGTTGGGCTCCCTGGCTGAAGCTGCAACGTAACACATTATCTAAGACATATCAATTCAGTATCGTTCAACCGATCCATTTCCCCGTCCTCATTCGCATCTCGAACACCCCCGTCTCACCACCTCCGTCGGGGATCTGCCCCTCGAAACCCGAAGCGAGCAGCCGATATCCCCATCAGAGTGGTAAATCGGCCCGTGGGGCCCAGCCCACCGTGGTGGGGATGGGGATCGGTTCAACGATGTTCATCAACGTACATGCCGTAGGGGTCGCAACTGATTCAGTCGTGGCGGACGGTTTCCCAAACGGCTTGCTGATTGGGGTGTTCTGGTGGTCGCAACCAGTTCCAATCGAGAAACTCACGCGCGGAGACATCCTCGAACAAATTTGGTGGTTTGGGCCGTTTCGCCTGAGACATCCTCACAGCTCTCGATTCTGAGTTGGCGGGGCTGGGGGCTCCAGGGCGCCGCGCGCGAGGTGGGTTGCGCGTTTCGACCGGGACATTATCACAAGTCTGGGCTCCGAGCTGCCGCGCGAGAGGTGGTCTGGCGCGTTTCACTTGCGACATCCTCGCAGCCCCAGGCGGCGCAAAGAGGGCCCCAACGGCCCACAAAAAATCTTCAGGCGGCCTTCACACGGCCCAAGTCACCCCAAGGTGGCGCCAAGGTGGCTTGAGAGAGCCCCCACGGAACCGTACGACCCACCCAGGCAGCCCACGCAGATCCCAGTAGCCCCCAAGGGGACCCCGACAGGCCCACAAATGGCCCCCCAGGATTTCCCAAGAGCAGCTTCAAAAGGTCACGAGGACCTCCCATTCTTCGACGTCCTTTTCCTCAGGGTTCTGACCGTCCTTCGTCGTCGTCGTCCTTTTTCTCCTCATCCTCCTCTTCCACCTGCTCCGCTTCGTTCCTCGTCTTACTCGTCCTCTTCCATCTCTTCCTCCTCGTCCTCGTACTTGTCGTCCTGCTTGTTGTCCTCCAGCTCGCATCGCTGCCCTCCCCGTCGTCCACGCTGTGATCCTCGTCATCCGCCGCCTCGTCGTCGCCATCATCCTTAGGAGCGCTATGGACAAAATCGCCGTTTCCTGTTCTTATCCGATCATGCATCGCTCTGGGGCGCTTCGTTGGGGCTCTTGTTTGGCCATTTTGGGAGCTGCTCGGGCCCTATCGGGGTTTCTTGGGGCTCTCTTGGAAGCCTTGAGATCGCTCCTGCAGCCATCGCAAAATATGTAGAACCCTGGATTCCCGCTCCCTCCCCTCCCCTCTGGAGCCCGGCAAGTCGCCCCTTGGTGCCGTCTGGGGGTGCTCTTGGAGCGCTCTCGGGGGCCATCGGGGCAGTGTTGGAGCTCCTCTGAGAACTGATTGAGGCTCGCTGAGGCGATTTCGGAGCCATCTTAAGGCCTCGGAGGCCAATCGGAAGCGAAAAGGCGAGAAGGCACACACCATTGAACCACGTAGTCGTTTTCTTCACTGATGTGGGTTTCTCGGGGAAGTCCTTGGCTGGCTTTGAGGCTGCTCGGAGCCGCCTTAGGGGCAAGCTGGAGGCATAGTGGAGGCTGTA